TGATTCATTCTCTTTTAAATTTATTCATATTATTTCATTTCTCTTTTTTCTTACTTACATTATTCGCCGCACTTTTTTTTTTCGAAAAAACTTAACAAAAAAATTTAAAAAAATTTTCAAATCTTCTAAAACATGCATTTTTTTTATTCAGATCAATTACCGCTTAAAAAAATTAAACCGTTTAGGTCATTCATTGGTCATTAAAATAACTTTCCTATAATAACATGAATGATTTACTCGTAACTATGAAATATATTTCAAATTTTAGTCCACAATTTCCTCCATCTTCCATTATTTCATATTTCTTTATTCGATAATCATTCATTTACATTTTCCTCTGATGACTTTATCCTATTTACTTAATGTTACTATGCCATTAATTACGACAGGAAAATATAAAATATATGCAAAAATATACAATAAAATATATATTATTTCAAAAATGACCAAAATAAATACCTATCGTTCAAAGTTCAATTTTAAATGTAATATTGTCATTTTTAAATGATATTAATAATGGTCACATATTAATGAGGACATTTTAAGTTCATTTCTTCTCGATTATTTCTTGCCTTCAATTATGAGCTTCAAAAGTATTCACCATCAATATAAGTTCCTGTCACTACCATTCGGTGACATACGACTTCTATATGTTGTCATTGAGATAATCAATCGTCTAGTTGTGGTGACTAAGCCATGATGTTTTATTTAGCAATAAACTGGGCAACATTTTTCGCTTCAAATTTGCACAAGTTTTTGATCGTACACTATCGTAAGAAGTATCACTGAATGTACCGTAAATATACTTGTGCCATTTTATGATACTATACCATTCAATCTCTATTGATTAATATCAGTGAATATTTTAAGCCCAATTCACATAACTGTTACATTGTTTTGTAACATTTTGTTCATTCATTTCAATCCCATTTATTCATTAATCTTTTCATTGATATCATTTTTCATGTCAAAATCTCAATTACGGTAGGTAACATGGAAATAAAAAATCTCAGTTACAGTAAGTAAAGCTAGATTTCAGAAAGATGGAATGTCCAGCTATTGTCATCCTATTATTTGGCATTATGGCAACACAATGGTCTAAAGCGACACTTTCAACGACTATTTGCATCGATCAAGTATCATCATTCATCACAATGGCTTGTAATGGATGTATTCAAATCGCTCTATCATCACAATACAGTGATCGTAAATAATTTCTATTTCTTTTTTTACTCATTTTAAAAATTAAAATTGTTAATTTAATTAAAGATAAAGATTATTTGATAATTTTAAAATCTTCAAATAAATTTATAAAGACTTCCTATAATTTGCCTCCTCCCTATCTTTGTTATTTTCAAAT